CTGACAGAAAAGGAAACCGAGGATCAGAGAGGTGAAGTCAAAATAAAAGCGAATGTCAGAGCTCACGTGAGAACACAAGATTCCTCAAAGGTGAGGGAAAACACAAACACCGGCTGAGCCTCCTTTCTACATAACCAGTAACCAGTGGGATATAAAATATGGCTCCAATATTGCAGGACTAGGAGTCCTTAAAGTACTTCATAGATACACAGATCTGCTAAGACACAAAATGTCTCATTTCACAGTTTCATTTTGGGGTTAATAATTCAGTCTCTGAGACAAAACTGGGGCTAGGCAGAAAAAGGTACCAAAAAGGAAAAACAAACCCACAAAATCCACAGCTACTTCTCCGTGGAAAGAGATTACAATTTATTTGGAGGGAATAAGCATTGAGCATATAGATTGAGCATATAGACTACAATAAAATATAGTAATGATGAATAACAAGAGGTTTAAATTAATGCTAGAACTGTTCAGGGGGAGAGAGGATTAGGAGCTGGGGTAGAGAGAAAGGGAGGTGGGTATGTCTTCTTTCCCAGCAGTGTCTCAGCAGCACTTCTCTCTCTATAAAGCAAAACCTGCCTTCTACTTATCTACAAGGATTCTGGGAAGACATAACAGATAGAAATGTATAGCCTTGGAGGAAAGTTCCTAGTATAATCACAAATGGAAGGTGGAAGCCAACCATGGTCTACTGCAAAATCCCCAACTCTATACAAATAAGATCTTTCAAATTCATAACGTGGGTAAGGAATAAAGTAATAATCCTTGCATTATGCAACTTTCAAGGAAAAGAAAACAAGAGTCACTGTTATTTCCCAATATCACTGGCTTAACAGGCCTACATCTTAGTTTTTGTACTCCCGACCCCTCCTTTCTAAGACTGGTACAGTCAAAAGTTTCCATGAAATATTTTAAAAATACATAAAATGCACATTTTTCCATTTTTGTTTTGGTTGTTGACTAGATGTTTCAATATCGCAACTAAAAAAATTTCCACTGCATAGGTTGCTATGGGTGATTTCCACTGCCACGTGTTTAATTAAGATTGTATGGTTGTTTGCACCTCAAAATTTTTCAGAAAAAGAAAAGCAGATTTCACTGAAAATTTACCTTAAGTGAAAAATGATTGAAACAAGCTGGGGAAAAATATACTGAAAGTCATTTGCCATGAAAATAAGTCAAAAAGGGGGAGGGTGAGAGATCATTTTGAAAGCATCCCGGAGTGAATAGAAGGCAATGGAGGTGTTTTTCCCACTGGGGATTAGTGCAATGAGTCTGATGCTGAGATCTCAGTTCTCTGCAACGGAAGGCACTTTCTGCCTCACAAACACAGGTGCCACACTGGTCCAGGGAGGGTACAGAGCCTTGTTTAAGAGTCACAGCTAGTGAATAGTGGCAGTGCTTAATAAGAACCAAGTCTCTTGAGTCCAGGGCCTTGGTTCTGTTCAGGACCCCATGCTCTATCATCTAGGTTTGGGGCATATTTGGTTTCCTACTGCTCACTGATTCAAACTTGAAACTTGCTTGTGAAATTCCAAGGTGTATATCTAAGATATTTTGGTCTCTAGAAAGCCCCAGACAAGTGGGCTCTAGCGAACTGTATTCAGGGAGCTAGTTGGGGTCCCTTTTAAAGCATGAGTCACTCTGCTTTGTGGATTCTGAACTGAAGAGTGAATGGCCTTAAGTTGAAGGCAGCAACTTTGCATGGAAAAGATCTGGATCTAGCACACCACTAGGGACATAAAATATACTGGATTCTTTTTTTTTAAAAAAAAAAAAAACACCTTGTAAACAAAACACTGGAATTAACATGATCATTTCTGATCCAAGATGATGCAGCAAATCGTAGCTGCACACACGCATAACTGTGGAAGATCCAAACCAGAAATTTCTAAGATTTAAGTTAACAGAGACAAAAGCTTAGATTCCTAAATGTGGAATGAGGGACAAAGATACAAGTAATACAAACACCTCATAAAGAGGAAGGAAATGGCAGGTAAGTATATGTAAATCAAAGGGAAATAAAAAGTTGTCATTCAAGCTTTTAATCTTCGCATTGTACAACTGATTCACTTTAGCACAGTGAGAGCAACCTTTGTGCTACTCCCACTAGCTGAAAAATTTCTCTTCAGCTAAACTCAGAGTATCTGAGAGCCTGATAAGATCTCTTCCAAGAACATGAATTAATATTAGCAATTCAACAAAAATAAAACACTGCCCATCCACTTGTGTGCATACAGCCACCTCTTTGGCTTATCCTAAGTCAACGCAGCCCACTCTTCACCATGATTAGAACCACAAATACCACCTGGATTGGCAGGTTTTCTGATCAATCTTTCACTTTCTTCATGAATAATTTTCTCAGAAGTAATTTATCAATAAATCAAATGTGTGCAGTTTTACCAAATTCACTAGTTAAAAAATCTGTTTATAGTTCATCTCCCCAGTGGGATGTGAACATTTTAGAGTAGTACAAGGTTGTCCTGGCAGTAGGTTGATGAAACTGCAAACTGGGTTTTCTAACTTTAAAATTAGGATCTTTTCAAGAAAGAACAGCCAGCCTTCTTTTATCCTGGGCCATAGATGGCCCCATTACCCCAAGCAATGATCCCAGAGATGAGTCTGAGAGAAAGGTTGCCCCAAAGCAAGCCACCGCCACCCCTGCAAGAGTGAGGTCAGAAACATCACACTGCTGGCGGGGCACAACTGCTACACTGTGACTTCAGCCTGCACTCAGATTCACTGACTGGACGTAGGCTCTGAACGGCTCCTAGCTGCATAAATTTCAGGGCCCTCAGGCCTACTCAGTGTAGCTACAACTCTTTACTATATACAAAAGGGAGCTGGATGTTTTGCTGTAATTGAAAGAGAACACCCTTCACTCTTGACAAAAAGCCCTGCAGTCTGGGTTTCATCTTCTAACTCTATAGCTGCCTTGCTCTCTGAACCTCAATTTCCTCAACAGGTAAAGAGGGGTGTAACACTTCCTCTCGGTGTCTCTATAAGAAAAATGCCCAGTTCGGTGCCTGGCCAACAGTGGAGGCTCAGCAAAGGTTGGTCTGCTCCCTACTGACTTCTCTGCTCAGGATACTTTCTTGCTGTTCTCTGCATTCCTGGATCAAAAGCTACTTCTAATAAACCTCCCAAACAGTCTAACCAAGTTCCAAGTATGACTCTACTACTGAACAGTTTATTAAAATCATCTCTCTCTGTGTGGTTCTGATCATGTTTAAGTTCTCAAATTTAATCTTGCTTCTCAAAGTGTGATCTGCAGGCCAGCAGCATCAGTATTACCTGGATGTCTGTGGGAAATGCAGAAACTCAGGTCCCACCCCAGGCCTACTTAATCACAATTTATGAGACCCTACCTCAAGTGATATGTTTACATTTCAAAGTGCTCTGAATATAGGTGTAGTAGTATAAGCATTCTGTTTATACATAAACTAATAAATAACAGGAAGGATACTTTCAAAATAGTCACTTCTGGTTTCTAGGATGTAACACATGTCAGACTGACTGATGATAAGCTTCCACAAACTAAATGTTTTCAACACAGGATGATGAAGTTCTAAAGCCTGTCTTTGTTTCTAATGTACACTGTCATTCTATAGATGGGCCTCCCCCCACCGTCAACTTTCTGAAATATTTTTTAGCTCTTTCCAGTTATATGTGAAAGTACAATTTTTAAATGCTCCTGAAAGTAAAATTTATGACCCAAATTCCTCAAATGAATCACCAAATGCTGGATACGGGAGGCTGGTAACTCTGTGTATCAGGAAACAAAAACCAATCTGAGTGAGTCATCTCTGTGATCACAGATAACACAGCCACAGCCAGGGCTTGGTGCAAATAAATGGCTACAGCAATCACACAGCAGAATCTCGTGTTTAATGGTTTCTCACATTAAAGTGCACCAGTCAGCTCTGTGAAACCAGGAAGTGGGACCCAGGACACCACATAAATAACAAGCACACTTTCTTGAGTTGGTTATATTTTATCCTTCTGCTCTAAATCTATTTCAATTTTTGGCAGATATATAAAAATGAAGGTGCTGTTTTGTCAAGAGGGAAGCAGAAAGGTAAAAAGGTAACCGAGATGACAGGACTTCAGAAATATCTCATAAGAAAATTTCAGTACTTTTCAGAGGCCTATTTATTGAGGCCTTTGATCCAAAATGAAAAAGGTGATCAGAAGCTGGCAAATGTCATTACACTGAGTGTAAACTATAGTTGTTTCCATCTCACTGCATATTAATTTTGACTGGGTTTTTTAAATTTATATTTTCTATGTATCAAGAAACACTTACCTTTATGTTTTTACATTTTATCCATGGAAATATAAGTTTATTTAGCAGTAAAAGAGTACATATGGTAAAAAAAAAAAAGGAAAGTAGCAGCTGGCAAGTGTCTCAAAACAAATGAAACAGAGGAGTTGGTAATAGGCTATAGAAGCAGAAATGCCTATTATCATTTGATTCCATGCATATTCTTTATGCATGCTTTTTCTCAGACACTCCAAGCTTCAAAGAGGAGATGAATGGGAAGTAAACGCATGCTACACAGGATTGCCATTTAGATGCTACCCCTCGCAACTACCCTCCAACTCCAGAGTGAACAGCCAGGTGTCCCCTTAAGCCCAGGAACAGGGGTGTATGCCAGAACCAAGCCTACCCCATGCTGACCAGGCTCCACACAGGGATAAGGCTATATTTATCAAAAGGGGGTATCTCCTATCAACACCACACGCCCATTAGCAGGTAGGACTCCCAGGGAACACTTCTTAAACAGTAGATAGGAGCTCCTAAACCTGTAATCTGAAAAAATTGGAGGCCAGCTGGAGGCAATGGCAGTAATTCCAGGCCCCTGCCTTCACGAGCACCCTCCCAAAGTTAAAAAAAAAAAAAAGAAAAAAAACTATAATTTCTGAAATAGAAACAGGATTAAATAGCCCCATATAGCCCCATGCCACTCCCATTATTTGCATGCAGCATACACTACCTCATAATGAAGGGAATAAAAGGTGCCATGCTGAGAGCAGAACAGGTGCCATCCATGGGGGAAGGGTAGAGCCTCCCCAACACCAAAAGTAAGAGAAACATGCTGGGATGACGGTTTAGTTCTCCTGTATCACTGGAAAAAAAAAAAAGTATTGTACATAAAAGGTTTAAAACTTGAGGCGAAAAAAAAAATTTGAGGCGAGGCACTGTCCTCAAACATTTTTCTCATTAAATAATTACATATTGAGTTGGCCAAAAAGTACGTTTGGGTTTTTCATATCATCTTATGGAAAACTTGAAGGAACTTTTTGGCCAACCCAATATATAAAGTGAGACTCTGTGATCAGGGATAATTGTCCTTATTTGCATTTCTTTCCTCCACTCGCTTCGTATCTTCTTACTGTGCAAATACGGAAGAACTACTGGCAAAGCCGCAGACTGGGCTTTTGCACACGATTCTCTTCTCAAAGCGTATTATTTGATAATTAGAGTTTGCTGTTTTGATTTGAGCTGTTTAGACAGTAGAGAGATGCCTGTTCCAGAGTATGAAATGTGAAACTTTCAACATCCAAATGTACTTAAGAAAGCGTGAACAGTCGCTTACCAGGGCCAGAAAAGCCTGTCTGCACAAATTACTAAAATGTGAGGAAATGTATCATAAACAGAAGTAAAAATTCATTGATGTGATTTTATTTTCTCACTACAGACAATTGGTATAAATTCATGCCAAGTGCAAAAACTACTCAAAGAATAAAATGGCCCATGCTCTGAGATGTCCATACTAAAAATTTCACTACTAGCCACAGATGGTGATGTAAAGGACAACAGTGAACTTTTTTTTTATTTGCCCTGATTAGAGTGGAAGCCCTCTTATTAGCTTTATTTTGTGTTTCCAGGACCACTGGCCATCTTCACTCAAGTGGAAGAGTATCATTTCTGATCATACATGACCAGATGAGTCAGCTGCAATAGGCCAGTGATTAAAAAAAAAATGACAGGTGTGTGTTAAAGCAAACTCAAAGTGTAAACACTCAGGCTCCTAAATATAAGGGGAAGAAAATGATTCTTACAAGAAATCACAATATGCTTCCAGAAGTCTAATTCCAGTAAAACATCGACAACTTTAAAAATGGATTTGTAAAAATGTGAAATAAAATCTAAAAACCTGATTTTACATAACTTTTCAGGTACAAACCTTCAACAGAGTATCAGGAAATATGATGTAATAAAGAAGCAGGTTTTTTTTAAAAAAATCCATCTATATTACAAGGAAGGAGCTGATTAAAAACTGTTGCCTGGAGGGAAAAATCTCAAAGTAATTCACATCCTTGATTCCACTTTGGCCCACCCTATTCTCTTCTTACCTGTCCACAGAATTGGCCACGGCTTCCAACTGTTTGAGAAGAAAGGGATAGAGTTCAGGGAAACGAGAGAAAAATTCGCTCCCTGTCATTCTGTGGAGGTAGAAAAGGAGATAAATTATTATCATTCATTTCCTCTGAGTTGATAAAGCCTTTTTATTTATTCATTTTTTAAAAGAACATCAACTAAGATCATTTGTTTGAATATTTAATGAAATAAAGTTAAGAACAAAACTTAACATCTGAAGAATTTAAAACTTTTGGACTTTGGAAATGCTCTTAACACAAGGAATTTTACCTCAAAATTTAAGATTACATATACTTACAGGTCTTTAATATTAAATTCTGACAGGGAAGAAATGTGCAATTTGTGAAAATGCCAAATTTCCACAATTGATTTGGACCATGAATATAATCAGCACCTGGTTGACTGAGATTGATTGAGCTTCAGTAATAAACACAAATGTAAAACAAGGTTTCTGCAAGTTGGCATCAATGACATTTTGGATGAGATAACTCCTTGTTGTGGGGGGCTATCCCGTGCAGTGTAGAAGGTTTAGCAGCCTCCATAGCTTCTACCCATGAGTTGCCAGTAGCACAACACCCCTCCCCATACCAACTGACAACCAACGATATCTTTGGACATTGCCAAATGTACCCTGAGAGGAAAATAAAAGATCCCAGTTGACACCCACTGGTCAGGAGCAAGATCATCAGAAGACATGGCGTGTAAGGTTCTGGAGTGCCAATTTGTGAGCATTACCTTCTCCCTCTTTACAAACACTGCTCCCTGCACTCTGACAAGATTCTGGAAATAGTTCCTCCAACTGTACAATCGACAAAAAAGCCCAAGCTAAGTATGGCACTTGGTTAAATATTGTGTCTCCAAAACTATGAAGGAACTACTCTGAAGGGGTGACACACATACTCCCAAACCTGCCCCTTTTATCAACTCTAGATGCATTCTCCTAATAATAAAGACCCAAAATACCATTTTTCAAAAACTGAAGCATATTTTACACAGTGAAATGCTCAAATCTTAGGTATACCATTTGGTCAATTTCATATATGCATACACTCGTGTAATCCACCTCTATGAAGCCTGGGGAGATTTCCATCATTCTAGAAAGTTCTCTTGCACTCCTTTTCCAGTCAACTCTGAATCCCCAAAGCAACCATGATTTGATTTCTATCACCCAAATTTGGTTTTGTCTATGCTAGAATTTCATATAAATGTAATAATGCATTACATAACTTCTTGGGTCTGCCTTTTTTCCACTCAGCATAAAACTTACGATATTCATTTATGTTATTCAATATATCAGTAGATTCTTTTTGTTGCTTTGTATTCTACTGCATGAATATACAAGTCTGTTTATCCATTCTTCTCTTGACAGATAAGGACTGTTTACATTTGTTGGCTTTCCTGAATAAAGCTTCTATGAATATTCTTGCACAAGGTTTTTTGTGGACATATATTTTTCTTAGATAAATATCTGAGAATAAAACTGAAGTTTAATATTTTAGAAAACTGATGGTTTTCCAAAATAATTATAACATTTTATGCTCTCAACAGCAATAAGCAAGCATTCTGGTGGCTCCATATCCTTTCCAACATTTTCTGTTGTCTTTTGTTCCATTTTCGCCATTCTCATGGGTATGAAGTGGGGCTTCCCTATGATTCTGGAGAAGAGTGATTACTTTTATTTATTGCATACTTAAAAAAAAATTTTATCACAGTATAATTACTTTACAGTCTTCTGTTAGGTTCTGCTGTACAGTAAAGTGAATCAGTTATAAGTATACATAGATTACCCTCTTTTTTAGATTTCCTTCCAATTTAGGTCACCACACAGCACTGAGTAAACTTCCCTATGCCATATAGTAGGTTCTTATTAGTTATCTATTTTATACATAGTAGTGTATACATGTCAATCCCATTCTCCCAACTCATCCCACCCTTCTTTCTTCCCCACTTGGTATCTTAAGTTTTTTTCCTACATCTGTTGCAAACTTTGTAAACCTTACCACAACTTTATAAATTTCTTTTTATAACTATTTCATATTCAGTAAAATAAAAATTTTTTGAAGTCCTTACTCATTTCAAATTATAGATTTATTGAACATTTATTGGACATTTTATGTAAAGAAAGCTCATTTCCTTCTTTGTACTTACATATTTTTATGGAAAAAAATTAATAAATGTTAAAAGAAACAGACTGCCCAGTGCCTTTCCTCATAGAAAACTATGCAAACGTATCTTGACTTTCTCTTTTAAAAAATTCAGTGAATTCAAGTACACACATTTCGTTTGACTTTTTTCCATCAACAAATATGCATATTACATATACTGTTGTGCACCGTGATTTTTTTCCATCAAAACTTTATCTACAAAATCATTCAATATCAGGCACCCTGATCTATTTCTTTCCATTTAATGACTGCAGAGTAAAGCATATTATGGTTATGTGTGACTTAATCCCTAATGGTTAGGGCTTTTGGTTGTTACCAGTGTCTTGCTGTTACAAAGGATGACATATATAAAATTTTTATTTAAAAATGCAAACCTGGGTTTTGCAAGGTCAATGTTTTATTGAGGGGGAAGACAAACCAATTCCCCTACAGGCTATGTCACGTTCTTTACCATCTCCAAGCAAAATGGTTAAGAATATCAGTTTCCATTTTTACTGGAGTCATTTAAAGGTAAAACTCTAGGAGTTCAGTCCTGGGATACCTGAGTACTACCTGCCCATACAGAACACCTCCATCTACACAACAAAGCCTGGAGGACATATCTTCTCAAGGAATCAGTCACTAATCTCCAGCAGCCTGATATCTCTTGGGGAAGTAACAAAGATAAACATTCTCACTTAAGCAGACCATATGCTTGTTATCAACATCATCTAGAAACTGCCTTGATAAATAACTGGCCCGGCTGACCACAATACTGCCAGAGACAAGAGCTGAGGAGCTACTATTCTAAAATTAAAGTCTTTTTTTTTTTTTTTTGCCATGCCACACAGCTTGTAGGATCTTAGTTCCCCAACAGAGACTGAATCCAGTCCTCAGCAAATAGAGCACCAAGTCCTAACCACTGGACCACCAGGGAGTTCCCTAAAGTCATTGTTTTAATGGAATGAAAGCAAATTACCTCATTCAGTTACTTTAACAAACATTTACCAACCAGTCTATCTTGGAGGCTATATGAAGAAGGTACATTACTCAAAGTTAGCTATTTGGTGAATCTTTTAACTAATTGTTTTGTTAATAGCCTGGTGTGTTTCGACTAAATCTCTAAAAAAAATATTCTGTTAAAATTACTGTGTCCCTGCTTGGTGGTGAAAGAGACAGAAGCATCAATTGTGCATCTGTCAATGTTTAAGAAAAAACCAAAATTATGTTTAAAGGAGAATTCTGATCTTGTATTCAGGTATGCTGAGACACAGGAGGTGCCTTTCTATTCTAGGATTTACTTTCCAGGTAGCATAAACTCAACTCTGCATTAGCCAAGGGCTACTAATGAGTTGGCTAAATGTTTATAGAGTGTAGCCTGAAGGATATGCAATATTAACACTTCTTGTGTATTATAAAACAGAGTCTCAAGTAAGACATAAATGGATATCAAAATTAACTCAGGGGCTTATTCAAACTTCACTCACCTCTGATTCTCAACTATACCAAAAGGTCTACAGCATCTTGAATCCAGAACTTTTGGCTGCTAATATATATTAATTCCAGCCTTCAGCTAACAAATGACTACATTTTATGATTATACTGAATGGAGAACCACTGTCTATAACAGTGCTTCTAAGTGGAGGTAGTTCATAGGTTTTGGGCTGCCTGTATAGGTCTGTAATCTAAACTCATTTTAAAAGACCAAGGTCATGGAACCATTTTAATCCATGTTTGAATCTCCCTCCTCTGAATCCTAGAACATCTAAGTTTTTACCTTTCACTTGCTGCTTAATCAAAACTGTGTGATCATGTTTTTCTCAAGAACATAGCAAATATATGTTTTTACACACCTGTTCACTTCATGTTGAGCACTATGCTAGGTCCTCAGGGAGATACTAACAATATGAGATAGCCACTGCTCTTGGAGCTAAAATCTGATTAGGAAGGCGGGCATATTTATATAAGAATATAAGGCAAACCAGTGTAAGGGTCAAATAAATGATATTTACAGTAAGAGTACAGAGTTGGAAAAGATATCACTGGGAACTAGAAAGGCAGGGAAAGTTTTGTGGAAAACATGGAAACTAAGGTAAGTCTTGAAAACTTGGTAAGAATGGATTGAAAAGGAGAAAAGACCGCATGGGGAGGATGGGGAGGTACAGGAATCAAGTGGACGGACAAGCTGGCTGGAGGAAGAGAGAGCTTCATGACAGGAGAAAGCAGGACACACAGGATGACATATGGTTTTTTAGAAACTTGAATGCCAAACTAGACAGACTCACCTGCGTCTTACTAGGCACTGAAAGTTTCTGAGAGAGATGTGACAAGAGCAGACAGACTAGACTAGAGACAGCAGAAACACTGTGGCCCCAGGGACATTCACTACATGCACGCCTTTTCACTTCAACTAGAGCATTAATATCTATAGACATCAAGGTTTCCCTGCATCTCTCTTGATTCATGGTATAATACTCCACACATGTTGGTTGACTGGCAAATATTATGGCAATGAATGAATTAAATAATGGTAGCCAGAGAAGAAAAAAAATTCTAATACAGTTGAGTTCAAACCTATGCTATATGCCTTTATTCTCTCAGTGACTGGTATCTATCGGACACTTAACTACTCACTCAGCTTCCCAAGCCCAAAACTCTCAATGCACCAATCAATAGGCAAGTCTTGCCACTTTTACCACCAGAGTATTTCCCACCATTCCCCCTATTTAGACCACAAGTCTGATGCCACTGTTTCTTGTCTAGAAGCTTTATCAGCCTCTCACCTGACCTCTTTGCCTCAGATCTTCCCTCTCTGTTGTGATAAGAACTGTCTTTAAAATACAAAGCTACATTATGAGATTAATAGTTTCCTAGTGCTTTTTGGATAGTCTAAACTCTTAAGCCTGACTTACAAAGTTGTG